TGCATTCTGAGGAATAATAACAGAATGAAAAATGCTGTGTTTTAATTTTTTTTTTTTTTTGCAGAGTAATTCTCTTAGAGGTGAAGTTTTAATCATCCATATGAACTTATTATTCACAATTTTTCTGCAGGATGACAGGCAAAATGGTCTTCTCTGTTGTTAGGAGTGACAACAGAGCCTATTATGCAGAGTTTCTTTTAATAATGTAGCAGAACATGCAGACTTTTTAGAGGCACGGCCGGCAGCCACTGACTGCCACCTTTTCTGTGTAACAAAGAGAGCAATTCCTCCAATCTTCTGTCTGTCCATATAGTCATTCAGCATTTACTGGGCTGTGTACTAGGACTGGGTAAGTGCAGGATAACAAAAAACGCTAAATATGATATAGACCTTGCTCCCCTGAAGCTTCCAGTTAGTTGTGGACAGACATAAACAAGAAATTACAATAGATGTGAAAAAATCAGCCCGACACCCAGTGTTCCTCTTCTCAGAGGGGGACCTACCTTTTACTGTCAGGAGATTGCCTTGTCTGTTATCTTCTGCACAGTTGATGGCCTAATCAGGGAGACCCGACACCCTGGCAACTCAGATCTTGCACCCAGTGGGCCAGTGTCTAGTCCTTCTCTGTGGAGCCTGAGGAAATGGTGAGAGTGAAGGGGACCCGCCAGTCCCCTGATTGCTCTGGCTCTGTGATAGCATCACACGCAAATGGACTGCTCTGCAAATAGGAACTCTCTCCTGAAAGTTAGGAAAAATATAGAAGGGAATTAAATTCTGAATTAAATTCATTCCCTCTGTGCTGTCCTAAGTGAGGGTCTCCAAGATGGCCTCTTGTGGAGGGTGTACCGTGTGCGGTCCCTGCTGCCCACTTTGTGCCAACAGCATCCATGAAAGTGGCCTGTATTTTTAGCTCTGGAGGATTTTTAGGATCTCTTTATTCATGGCTTGGAGATTTTAAAATAATATATCTCAGTACAATTCTTCTGTTTCTTGTGCTGGGGACTCAATGGACTCCTTAAGCATGTAGACTCCTGAGCTTCTGTTCTTGTATTATTAATTTGATTGGTCAGAGATTGGCACTCCTGGAGCTGATCACCTGTATCTCTATTCTCTTTATTGTCTTAGGTCTTGTTAACTACTTAGTCTGCTTTCTGGGATATTTCCTTGACTTTGTCTTCAAAATGTTTATCTTGAAATTGTGTTACTGTGACACTGAAATTTTTTTTATTTCAGAGAATTCTGTAGCCAGTTATTCTATTAACCAGTTATTCTTTTATAGTAGCAGCATGATCCATTGTATGGATACAATATTGTCTCAAGTCTCTTGCACAATACTAATGAGAGTAATATTGTTTTACTGAATTATCTCTAGCAACTCCGGTTCATTTTTGGGTATTTTCTCATCTTGATCTTTCTTATTCATGTTTGTGATCTCGAGTGTCTGCTACTCCTACCTTATGTGTTCGCGGATGATTGATAAGGTTGGTGTGCGTGGACAGAGAGACGGGCTAGATGAATGGGCATGGAGCCAGCCAGCCTCGTGGGAGCTCCCGAGTGTTGAATGTGTAAGTTCCTGCCCTGGCCCCAACCTCACACTGGCTGCCACAGTTCTCCTGCCCAAGTGCTTGAACTTCTCAAACTAAAGACACCTTCATTTTCCAACAGCCTGAGGAACATCTTTACCAACAAATACACTGGCATTTTCAACTCTAAATGTCCCAAGTTTATCTCTTCCTTTACAGACCTGTTTCCTGCCCTGGGGATTTATTCTCCATGTTCAGTCTAATGCTGTGCCCTTGAAGATGCCTCCTGTCTCTGTCCATCCTCCCTCTTTCCATCACAGCTTTCTAGTCAGGTCATCATTATTTATTCCCTGGAAAGAGTCCAAGTTTCCCGCTAGTCTCCTATCTCTCACTGCCAGATTACTATTCTCCCAAAGTAGTTCTCTTTACATCATTCTGCAGCTCAAAACTATTTCCTGGATCCCTTCTGTTTACTCATTAAGGCCCAACTTGTTAATCTGGTGTGAGGCATGTAACCCCCTTTACCTCCCACATGGCTATGAGAAGCAGAAGCACAAGGCGAGCCCCGGAGATAGATGGACACGGTCAGGTCCTGGCTCTTACCAGACAGATGCTTTGCCCTCTCTGTGCCACAGATTTCTCAGCTCTAACTTTGGGATAAACAAAGTACTCCTTTGTGGATTAATGAGGAGATTTAATGAGAGAATGATAGTGAAATCACTAGCACAGGGCCTGGTTCATCATAAACACTCTTCAAAAAGTTTTTAAAGAAACTGATGGTGTCTTTAACGTGAGAAGTATAAACCACAAGTTTAGACTTATGGTCACCACTGTTGCATGTACTTACTATTATTGTTCATTTCTTGCATCCACCCAATGTCTTTCTGTCAGATCAGTCTCCTCCTGGCTTCCTGACCAGAATTCATCCTTTCGCACCTCTGCTCTGACACAAGCTTCCTCTTCTCTACACAGTCAAATTTTTAAAAATATTTTTATTGTGTAGAATATACATAACATAAAACCAACTGGGCTAATCGTTTTTAAGTCTACAATTCAGTGGCATTAAAATGCATTCACATTGTTATACAACCATCAATCACCCAGAACTTTTTCATCCTCCTCAGCTGAAACTGTACGGATTCCATAATAACTCCCCATTTCTCACTCTCTCCAGCTCCTGGCAACCGCTATTCTATTTCCACTTCCTATGAATTTGACTATTCTAGATACTTTAAATAAGTGGGATCATATAGTATTAATCCTTTTGTATCTCACTTATGTTAGTTTGTATGTCTCCGTGATTCACCCATCTTGAGCAGAAAATAGAATTTCATCTTCTTTTAATTTTCATCACCACCATATTCTTTATTGATTCACCCATTGTTGGACACCTGGTTTGCCTCCACCTTGAATGTGGATGTGCACACAAATACCTGTTCATGGCCTAGCTTTTACTTCTTTGAGGTTTATGCCCAGAAGCAGAATTGCTGGATCATATAGCTACTTCCGGTTTAACTTTTTGATGAAATGTAATTCTGTTTCCACAGCAGCTAATTCCACTGTCAGATTTTAAATGTCTTTTGATCCAGTTTCATTGCCACCTCTTCCAGGAAGTATTTCACATTCTCTTCCAGACAGAACTCAGAAGCAGCAGCACCACTGTGCAGCAGTGTCCCTCTGGAGGCATCATCCACCAGCACTGCTACCGAGTTTGTAGAACACATCCCTCAGCCGCCTTCAGGAGAGTCGTCTGTTTCCTGCACTACCTCGCTCAGAAAAAGTGCACAAAATATCTTCTATGAATGAAAGAATGGATGAGTGATTCAGTCAGCCCTTCTCTGAATTACCAGTTGCTGAGAGTGTGAAAGGAATTAGTGAAAACTCCCCACCACACACCACAGAGGAAGTCAGCTTCCCACAGGCTTTTGTACCTGAATAAAGGTGATGAGCTGCTTTCGAAGTCTCCTCACAAAACTTAGCATCAAACCCTTAGTGCTGCTTTCTTGGCTCAGTCTCTTCTGTCCCATTAAGAAGTGACATGTGCTGCCAGTGTCTGTCAGATTTCCCTAATAAGGAGAACAGGTTGCCACCTGGGTCTGTGGAGACATTTTGGAAGCATCGTATTTAAATTTTGTTTTCATTGAAAATTTATAGCCTCCACCTTCTACTCTAATGTAATGAATAATTAGAAGCAATTAAAGGAAATTTAGTAAATCATTAAGCCTCTAGGAGTAAAAATTAGCGTTTATGGTGTTTTTCCTTGGCTGTCTGGGCAAAGTGATCTATGATGCTCTTGCAGACACCATGCACAGATAACTTTCTACACACCTTACAGTTTTCCAGTAACATCATGAAAATCAATGCATGACAGTAGAGTCTTGTGACATTAAAGGGTCTGCTTAATAAATATTGGATGACTAGGGGGTGGGTAGGTGATGAATTTGAGCAGAAGTAACTAAACCACAAAGGTTTAATGCTGGTGCATTAGACATCATTTTAAGCTTATTTAAAAATATATATTTTAATTAAAAAAATTAAGAGGAAAAAAAGACAAAACTGAATTTTCTTAAAAGCTGTCTAGACTGTCCACCCAGAGAATCTGTTTTCATTTTGGTATATTGATTTTATATTTCCTAGGCATATTTGCATGAGTTCTTGTTATAGTTTTTATCACACCACACACAAATTTAACATTTTGATGATTAAGTTTAATAAAATCATGTAAACTTTCCCCCATGTTACTTTGGCTAAGCCACATAAATAGCATATGATTACATTATATTCTATGTGGTCATAGTTTTAGCTATGTTTTAGCTTTAAACAATTGTAAATAATACTACTGTGGACCTCAAAATATATAGTATTTTTCTATATTTTAAAATCCGGATTCTAAAAAGGATTCCTAGGTCAAGAACATTAGAGTTCTTAATTTTTATTTCCTAATTGCATTCCTGAGAGCTTATACTTACTTGTTTTTCAACCTGCAATATTGAGAGTACCTGTTTCTGTGTACCAGTCCTTACTTTACAAAAGTACCTTTAAAGCATTTGGCTACTTTAAGAGGCAGTTTTCATTTCTGTGATTGTAACTGAGGTTTTGTGAACTTGCAGTCAGTTAGGTTCAGTAGCAGGGAGTTAAACCAGATCACCTGATCTGGTTTAAAGGTTGTTTCATGGCATGCCTCAGCACTGGGTCACAGAAAGAAGCGCACCTATTGTTTTTTAAAGATTTATTTATTTATGCATACAAGAAATGGGGTCCAGGCCAGAGATGTGGGGGGTGAGAGGATTCACCAGAGACAGAATGGGGAACAGAACAGGCAGGTTGACCGAAGTACACTGCTGAGGGGAGCAGCGGGCAAGTCAGGAGAGGTCTGCTGCGCCATGTGGGTTGCTCTCTAGCTGGCCGGGAAGTGAACTCTTACTGAAGTGGCTGGTGATAGCTTCACAGGTTGTGTCTTAATCCTTGCACCACCAGGGAGGCCCCAAGAAGCGCTCCTATTGCATGAAGCCACTGCAAGTTTGGAGAACATCACCAGGAAGACCAGAGAGCCCAACACGGCGTTTGCAGTGGGAACCACAGAACACAGCCTTACTCACGTCCGCCTTTCCAGTGGAATCACCTCAAGAATCCTAGCTGCAAGGTCTGTAAGTCCCATAAATGCAGTTTTCAAATTTTCAGCATTTGCAGGAGAGGAAGACCCATGAGAAGCTGGGGGAATGGAGGTTAGTCACTGGGTGGTCTCTCATAACTATAGCATTATTCACCATGTTAGTGACATTGGCTAACCTGTTCTAGTGCCCCTTAATTAATTGTCCTTTTTAACTTTTTCTGGGCTGAAGTGAAAGAGCCAGTTTTCATTTTTGTGATTGTAGCTGAGGTTGAGTGAACTTGCAATCAGTTAGGCTCAGTAGCAGGGAGTAGAATTCACCTGATCAAGTTTATAGGTCATTTCATGGCATGCTTTTCAGAAAGTCATGATGTTCTTATTTCTAAGCAGCTATGACATTACTCTTTGCAAAACAGGAAGCCAGGTGAGAATGAGAAAGGGCAGGGGATGACTCCACGGGTTTCCCTACATGGGGGTGTCCAGAGGTCTAAGGTGGGTTTCTTTGTACATATAGCAATCAATATTTAAGCATTAAAAGAGTTTTTTTTTTTTTTTTTTTGGTGGGCCTAACACTTCAGCACAGTAATAAAAATATTAATTTCTCTTCCTGGTAATGCATGGGCCTTATTCATTCATTAACTTAAGCAATTTGTTTCTTCATTTAATAAATTATGATCATCTAAACATAATAAGTAGTAAATCAAAGACCCTTCATATCCTACTCTCCTCCTAAGGCTTTTTAACCCCAGGGGTCCCTGTAAACAGGCTGTAATGGAAAGGAGCACCCTATGGAGTTATGTTCCAATGCAGTGGCCCTGGCCACTCCCTTACATCATTGACAGGCTGATTCCAATCTTTCTCTTAACAGTGCTTTTCGGGAAGATGCTGACACACAGGGGAGCGATGGAGTGTTATTGGGAATAGGCCCTTAGAAATCCTAGAATGGCCTTTTGTAAGAAATGGTGTGAACTCTGAAGACATCACCCAGGCCCACCAACACTCCTTGCCAGGGAAATTCCTTCCTAGTCATGCCTTTTTGTCATTTAAATTAACAGCCTAGATTGAAGGATTTTGCCTGTGGATAATAGGCTTTTACTTTGAGGGCTGTTTGGAAGACTGACTAAATCCAAAGAAGCAGTGGATTAATTTAAGAAAGTAGGAATAAATCTGTTGCAAAGGCAAAAGATTAACAGTTTTTTTTTCAAAGTCCCTTTCCAAAACCTTTGATTTGGGAGCTGACTCTTAACCCATGACTTTCATGGAATTGTACCATATCGCCCTGCATACCTGTAGGAAGGATTCTGAGCTCTGAGCTCTGACCTCTTCTCTCTAACTGCTCCTATGTAATAACCAGAGGCAAATCCCTGGAATAAACCTCTTTCAGATGTTCATGAGTGATGGGAACAAATCTAGATGAGTTGATGGCTCCTGTCCAGTGGCTGCTGAAAGTAAATTGGGTGAGATTTTTTGGTGCACGGAGGAGGGGCCATTTCAAGTAGAATGTCATTCCTTGTGGAAGGGACTTCAAATTCAGTTTTAAGAAGACAGACTTGGGGTGTTTTCAATCATTGTTTCTTTTTTTTTTTTTTTCATAGGCAAAGGCAAGAGGTGAGCTGCAAGGACAATCTGGGTTTAACAAAGGGTAGGAGGAGAGGAGAGGAGAGAAGTGAAGAGGAAGAGGAGGAGAAAGAGAAAGAGACGGGGAAGGAGGGACAGAAGGAGGGAGGGAGAACCCTTTGCTCTATTTGGGCAATGTTAAATTGATTGGCTCATTTATACCAAGAAAAAAAGGGATAAAAATATATGAAGACAAGAGTTCCTTTAAAGACATTTTTTAGGTTCTGCTCATGGTTTTGGAATGTCTATAATCTATAATTGCCATATATTCTGGATTTTCCAGAGCAGTCTAGATTTAAAATACATGCTTTCCTTATCTCCATAAACATCAAAATATTCTGGAAATGCAAATATTTGGACAGTGATTAACTGAATGAATCAAATTGCTAAGCACTACAAATGTGTGAATGCATGCTATTGGTGCTAAGTATAAGTTCTGCGACCTTAGATGTAACGCTTGGGGTCATTGCCTAGTGGGCTCTGGCACTGAAGTGTCTCTTACAGTATCAATTACTTATTCAGAGATTTCTGAAAAGGTATTTGTGGGGAAAAGGAAAATAAACAATGACTGAACAAGTGAAGTTCTCACATTGTAAGAGAATATGCTAACAATTTCACCAGCAGCTGAATGAAAAGATGAATTAAATATTGCACAAATTGTTATGTGCTCTTGGTTATATTTAAATTTTCTATTTCAGTGAAACCAGTTTTAAAATATATAACTTGTTCAATGGTTCTATTTTGTAAGATTTTTCACATAAGTTCAAAAACCAGAGAAATATCTCTTAGTGGGGAAAACAAGCTAGTTAAAAACAGGGATTTGTGAGCAAACTGGACAAGGAATCAAAGGCAGTTTCTGCCACTTGCTAAATTTGTCATAAATTACTCAACCTCTCTAAGACGTGGGTCCCTGATTTGAAAAATGGGGGATATAAATATTTCCTAAGCCTGTTGTTTGGGAGATTAAATAAGTTAATGTTTAATAAAGTATTTGATCCAGAGAAGGTATTCAGTAAATAACAATTGCTATAAAAAACACTACTAATAAAATGTGAGCAAAAGCCTTTGAGAATCAGCACAAGTTTTGCTATTTTCCTCCCCTCCTGCAATGTGACTAGCTATGTTCTAGATGATGCAGAGTCTGTTAACTTGAACTTCTGAGTAAGGTCAGTGTGGAGTAGAGCTCCCTGCTCTTGAGAGGCAAACATGTTCAAAGAGAAGGAAATACACTTTTGCTTATTAGGACACTGAAATGTGGGGCTGCTTGTTACTTCTGCCTATAAAGCCTCTCCTGACTGAAGCAGTAGAGAACCCAGAGGTTATTTAGGATCCTGGAAGAGATGGATGATTAGGACAATGCACTAGACCAGGGACAAGCAGGTGGCATGAACTGGAGACAGAGCAGCCACAGACCAGAGGGAAACAATGACCTTCCAGCAGTGAGGCACAGAGCATGCATAAAACCTCATATCCTAACTGACAGTGGAAGAAGGAAAATATTATTCATTTGGGATAGTATTGAATTTACTGGCTCAGTTCCAGGAAAGTCTCAAGGGAGGTTAAAGGGATCTAGAGACTTCCCCTGTGTTCTTTAGAGACACCTTTTTAAATGTTAAAACTGACAGGATGGAAATGTCTTCTTAATGTCTGCAAGAGGGGGCCACAGGTTGGGGGACTATGGCTGCTTAAGGGGCCAATGAAGGCCTCCCGCCCAGCAATGAGAGACACTACCTTTTCCTGCTAAGTCTGGAGAGGCAAGTGACTGGTACCATCTGCCCCACACCTTTATGATACCAGTTCTCCATATTCAGCTAGGGAACTCCAAAGGGAGAAGGCTGTCCTGTGTCTGGGTTCCTGGAAAAATATGCTGTGTACGAGGAAGTGTTTTCAGACAAAAATAAAGGAATTGCTCTGTACTCCTGTCACAGGGGTGTAGCCATAGTTAAACCTGAAATATTGTGCAGATACAAAGGCATTTGTGGTAAAATTTCTCTGGATCCTTTATCTCTTTTTTCTAGGTCCCTAGATCCTCTACAGAGAAGAAAGAGCATGTTTGGCTTCTGAGAGAGTACAGGATCCTTCACAGTCCCACCAGCTGAGTCAATTGTGCATGCCTGCAGCCTAGGCATCTATACATCAAAACCTTGGAGTCCTGGCATCTCACCCAGATCCGGGGGCTGATGGTCACACCCTGGGCAGAGCACTATCATTTAATAGGTAATATACTGATTCCTTATTGCCCAAATTCTGTTCCATAGAACCCAAGTTCAAGTTTTAAAAGACAAGAGTAGGTGCCCTGCTATGACAAGGTCTCAGACCAAAGCCTTTGGGGGCACATTGTATTCCAAAATCCCACTTCAGTGACTCAAGCTGCTTGTTAGGCCTCTCAAAGAACACTCCTGTAAACTGCTTGAGACTCAAATTTAAAAAAAAAAAAATCTCTTTGAATCAAAAGAATTTAGTTGGGTTGGACATTATTGTATTTTTCTCAAATTTGTTTGAATTTGACTATGAGCCATTTTTAATATGGAAACATGACTTACATCCTGAGAAACAATAAACCTTGACACACTGAATGAAGAGTTGCTACTCACACTTGTTCCAGGATTTGGGGGCTGCACACCCTCTGGCCTTGTCCAAAGAAATAAATTTATGAGGCTAGAGATTGAATTCGTGAGCCATGTTCATTCCCGCCAAGAAGGGGGACTAAAGGCCTTTGAAGAGTCAGCCCTTTCCAACTGGGAGACCTTCAGAATAAGCAAAGATGTTCATGAATTTCTGGGGTTCATTGGTCAATACCAACTGCTTATTCAACAGTTTTTGGTTTGTTTTCTACTCTGCATGTTCCAGGAACAGATCAGTGAAAAATTCACTTGTCTAGCCACAGCTAAAGGCCTTCTGGTATTCAAATATGTCTTTGTTAGGTCAAATAATACCCACCTCCTCAGATGTCCATAGTTGAATCCTCGGATGGCAAAAGGGTCTGTTTTGCTGATGTGGCTAAGTTAAGGATCTTGAGATGGGGAAATTGTCCTATTTCATCTACATTCTACAGGGTCCTCCTAAGAGGAAGACAAGAAAGTCAAAGATAGAGCAAGGAGATGCAATAAAGGAAGCAGAGATTAGAGTAATACAGTCTCCTCTTGAGCCTCCAGAAGGAATGTAATACCAGTTACACCTTGATTTTAGCCTGGTAAGATTTATTTTATTTTTCATTTAATGAAGTACCATTGTTTTATATCCTGGTTTCAGCCTGGTAAGATTTGTTTTAGGCCTCTGATCTCTAGAACTATAGCAGTAAATTTTGCTGTTTTAAGCTACTAGTTTTGTGGTAATTTGTTATAACAATGGGAAACTAATACAGTGCCTTCTTCCTGTCCTATCTCAAGTTGGCCTGGACCCACATAATCAAACTGGGAGAAGCCATATCAGTCTTATCCTTTCACTTAACCTTAGGAAGCTGGACCCCCTCTGACAGCAATTACCCAACATGGGAGTGAGGATTACTGGTTGCCTCAAGGTAGAGGGATTGCCTCAAAGAGCATGTTCAGACCCCTAGGCACAGGGGAAGGTGAGATAGACTTAGGAGCGCAGGTCCAGAACAGGGACAATGGGGCACTTTCTCTGATAGTTTGATTTTATCTTCTACATGTCATGCAGCTGGCAGTCTGCCAGGAGAGGGCCCTAAACTGGTCATGTGTTAACACCCATCTCTGACTTCCAGCTTCCAGAACTGTGAAAAAGACATTTCCATTGTTTATAAGCTGCCTAGTCTATAGTATTTTGTTATAAGAGTCCAAATGGACTACAATACTGGGTGAAAAGGAAAAAGCTAGAAATATGGTTTCATTGGGTAAAAAGCAATCGTATCGGAAGCATTCGTGAAAATGTTTATCTATATTTAATTGCTCTACAGCATAAAACAATTTATGTATATTGGTAAATATGTAATATAATAATATATTGTCACTTTAGATTCCCCCAATTAATCCTCTGTGAGTTTACTCAGGCTTCATAATTTATTACTCTTTGTAGCCTGGTCATCTGTTTCTAACCTAGAAAATTAGAAGGCATTTTTTTCAGGTTTATGAGCTATCTGTTCTCTGCCTTGACATCGTGCCTGGAGATGTAGGGCAGAGGTGATTTGGTTGGTTTCTCAGCCCAAGGTTGAGTAAACAGATGTCCCGAAGTTGATTTTCCCCAGAATAATTGCATACAATGAGCACAAATGTTTAATTAATCAGGAATCTTGTGCTTATTATCTTTTCACTGGGTTTCCACTGATAATGACCCAGAGGAAAATTCTTTTCCTTTGTGTGAATGATATTTTATTTAAAGGTTTTCATTTCATCATCTGATTTCCTCTCTTTTTCTAGTAAGTGAGAGAGGGAGACTGAATGAATGAATACCTGTGCCCTCACAAAAGTCAGGCCCACCCACGCTCGGGATTGCCGAGGGGTAGCCGTGAGGCTGGATGGAGGGCATTTTCCCCATTCAAGCCGATCTCAGAACTGTGTGAAGTCGAATAATTGAATATTTTATATTCACTCGATGCAAACTTCCTTCCCCCAAATCAAAACCAAAGGAAGGAAAGTGAGTTAAGGAAAGACTGTTTTGTGTGAATTTGAGTTTTTGGGACTAAACATTGTAGTTTGGGCTGGTTCACTAATGAAGGACCTGCTCCCCAAACTTGGTGCAAGACACAAAACGCTAATCAGGACATTGTTTGCATTAAAGGGCTGAGTTTTCCGGTGAGTAATCATTGGGGAAACCCAGTCAAGGGCGAACAAGGACAGCGGCCCTGATTAATTAAACATCTGCACCAGAGCTAAAGGCAAGACTTACCCTGTCGGTTGTACTGGAGCTATTGATATTAATGCCACATGTGGAATTGGGAAATGTTGTTTGCTGAAATCCATTCAGGGCATAGCAAATTTTGTCTTTTTAAATTATTTCAGCATCTTCCTGTGTCACTAGGTGTAAGGGATTCTGGGCAGGACAATGGTGTTCGTAGTTTATCTCTTTAGCATTTCAGCAATCCTTTACGCATGGGTCCAAGTTGGAAACAAAATCTGGGAGAAGACTGTTCTGGGAAGGGCCTTTCAGGGAGGGGGACAGGCCTGAGCAAAGGCAGGATATCTGAAACTGTAGCGTGTATCTTGATAACCACAAGCTCTGGTCTGATTGGAGCCCAGGGGCTGAATACCACCCTGAGGAGTTTGTAATTCATTCAGAAGCCACGGGGCCTGGTGGAAGTCTCTTGGGTGGGGGGCAGCATGGTCAGAATACAGGCTCTCTTGAACAATACTGTGGATTGGTTCCAGGCCACCGCAGTTAAGAGAATATCACAAGTTGCACAAATATTTTGGTTTCCCAGTGCATATAAAATTTGGGTTTACACTATACTATAGTCTGTTAAATATGAATAGCATTATGTCTAAAAAATGTACATATCTTAATTAAAAATAATTTCTTTATTGACGTAACATTGCATTTTAACATTATATATGTTAGCTATGAATCATTGAAAAACATACATACTACGTGAAGTTCGTCACTGATGGTCCAGTTCTACCTTTCACCTTAGAATAGTCCAGATTTACCCATGAAACATGTTTCTTAAACAATAAGACTCTTTTTTCCATCTGGTAAACACTAATTGGTCATATAATTCAAAAGTTTACTTAGAAAATAATTCATTGCTAAAAAAAATGCTAACCAATATCTGAGCCTCTGGCGAGACATAATCTTTTTGCTGATGGAGAGTCTTGCCTATCTGTTGAATGCTGCTGAACAGACTGGTGGTTGCTGCAGGTTAAAGTGGCTGTGGCAATTCTTTAAAATAAGACAATGAGGTCTGCTGAATCAATTAACTCTTCTTTTACTGAAAGATTTCTCTGTAGCATGGGGTGTTGTCTGATAGCATTTTATCCATAGTAGAACTTCTTTCACATTGAAGGCAGTCCTCTCAAACTCTGCCATTGCTTTACCAACAAAATTTATGTGATATTGTACATTCTTTGTTATTTCAGCAATGCTCACAGAGTCTTCACCAGGAACAGGTTGTATCTCAAGAAACCACTTTCTTTACTCATCCAGAGAAGCAACTCCTTAGCCATTTAGTTTTTTTAAATTTTATTTTATTTAAAGATTTATTTATTTATTTATTTATTTATTTATTTATACAAGCACTGGGTACAGTCAGAAGCATGGGAGGGTGAGAGAATTCACCAGAGCTAGAGCGGGGAACAGAACAGGCAGACTGACGAAATACACTGCTGAGGGGAGCAACGGGCGTGGCAGGAGAGGTCTGTGAGCCATGTGGGACCGTCGCCAGTGGCCAGGGATCGAACCGGCACTGCAGAGGCTGCGGGCAGCTTCGCAACCCAGTGCTCAACCGCTGCGCCACCAGGGGAGGCCCCCCATTTAGTTTTATCATGAAAATGCAGCAGTTCAGCCACATCTTCAGACTCCTGTTTCTAGTTCTCTTGCTCTTTGCACCACATCTGCTTTTACTTCCTCTACTAAAGTCTTGAGCCCCTCAAAAGCCATCCATGAAGCTAGGAAACAACTTTTTTCAAGCTCCTGCTGTTGATGTTTATGGCTTCCCCCCGTGAATCGCAAGTGTTATTAGTGGCTATCTAGAATGGTGAAACATTCCCAGGTTTTTAATTTGTTTTACCTAGATCTATCAATGGAATCACTATTTATGGCAGCTATGAAGTCATTTCTAAACAGCTTCATGAAACGTGTTTCTTATACAATAAGACTTGACATTTGGAATTATTCCTTGATGCAGGGGCTATAGAATGGATGTTGTGTTAGTAGACATGAAAACAGCATCAACCTTATTGCACATCTCCATCAGAGTTCTTGGGTGATCAGGAACATTGTAATGCGCAGTATTATTTTGAGAGGAATCTCTTTTTTCCCTCTGAGGGTTAAATCTCAACAGTAGGCTTAAAATATTCAGTAAATCAAGTTGTAAACAGATATTCTGTCATCCAGGCTATGTTTTTCCATGTATAGAGCACAGGCAGAGTAGATTTAGCAGAATTCTTTTTTCAAAAAACAAATTATTTATTTATGCATACAAGAACTGGAGTACAGGCCAGAGGTGTGGGGGTTGGGGTTGGGGGTAAGAGGATTCATCAGAGACAGAGAGGAGAACAGAACAGGCAGATTGACTGAAATGCACTGCTGAGGGGAACAGCGGGCGAGACAGGAGAGATGTGCCATGCCATGTGGGTAGTTCCCTGGCTGGGGATCGAATTCATGCCACAGTGGCTGTGGATGGCCTCATAGGTTGCATCTCAACCCCTTGTGCCACCAGGGAGGCCCAGATTTAGCAGAATTCTTCAGGACTCTAGGATTTTCAGAATGCTAAAAGAGCATTGACTTCAACTTAAAAGTCACCAGCTGCTGTACTGTGAAGGAGTGTGTAGCACATTGGGTGCCAAGGAGAGAGCACCAGGATGGTTTGTGGCTGAGAGTGGAGGGCAGAGCAATGAGTTCTGTTCATTTGTCAGCTTTGACGATGTTGGCGGACTTTTAAAGACAATGGCTTATTCTTGAAGGGAAGCTATTGCTATAACCTAAGAAAGAAGTGAGAGGATGGAGATGTTTTTGAACAGACAGGTTTGGAGAAGAAAAGACTGGGAAGTACATATGAGACTTTTGGAAATGGAATGAGAAAGACTAGGCAACCAAATTAGCACACAAGGGAGGATTCAGAAATGATTTCGAGCTTTCAATAACATGTGTATGTGTGCGCACGCGCTCGTGCTGGTAATTTGAGTTATTCTTCAGATAACTATCAGCAGCAGTAGTGGTAGCATTGTCCTTGTCATCATCATCAGTCTGACTTTCGATGGCCATTATACGTGTGTGTGTTTTGTATGAATGGAAGGTTTGAATCAATAGATTCATTCAATTCCATTCAGTCCATTGCATTTGTTAAAAAATCAGATTCATATTTAGTTACATACACATTTGTTCTTTATATGTACATATGTATAGAGTAATTTCATCTGCACTGAAGTCATTTCCAAAAATACCTGTGTAGATAATCCACTGTAGACATGTATTATTCAATTTCTCTTCACTGAAAATAGAATATATTGATTTAAAGTGAGCTTAAGAATAAGAGCAACACTTGATATTCACGAGTAGCTGTTAGCATGGTAGTGTTCAGGGAAAAAAGAGTATCTGTCCACCCCTGTCCTGCACCAGGAGGCCCCATGCTGGGATGGGTCAGGCATGCACTCATGAGGAGGGAGGAGGTGACAGGCACTTGGGTACATCACCACAGGATTCAGAGGACTGACTCACTTCCCTTCCCAGCTGTTGGCCACAGTTTGTGGTGGGGGCTCACCACACGGGCGAGGCGCCAGCCTTTCCTGCCATTCCTGTTCCATGTGATCTCTTCCCACAGTCCCAGCTCCTGGCTTTCCTTCTTGGGGACACACACATTTTATTCAAGAGGCTGGAGGGAAAATCAACATGAAGATTAATGGACTTCAAAGCAGGGAGAGAATGAAAATACTGGAAACTTCTGCCTATGATTCAATTTTCAGAACTTAAGTGTGTACTGGAGACAAGGAGGAGAAGCTAATCAAGTGAAGAGGCCAGATCTTGGAGATTAAGAGATCATTTAGAGAACTCACCTAACGCTATGGCCACGGAAGTACCTGTTGAACTCTCCCCACATTCTCCCTCCCTTTTTATGGTGGGGAGGACCTTAGCTTTAAAATGAATTTTATGTTTAAGAGAATTCATTTAAAAATAGGTTCTTCAGCCTGCATTTATAAAAATAATTTCTTCCAACTGGAGTAAAAACACATGTTCCACATATGTGGACATTCTGTTATACAATATGCTACTTCTGAATCCCACACAAAAGTAAATTATTAATTTAATTTTAAGGAGCATGGAAATTTTCTAGTGAGGAGCAAATTCAATATTTCACACCAGGAAAAACTTTGGAAAGTGTTCGGGACACTCTAACTTTAGGTGTTAGAATGTACACGTCCTGGTCGGCACATGTGCCTCGTCATGTACCTCAGTAGTAATCACTCTTAGCTCCATTCAGTGTTTGTTGTGATATGCTAAATTACCTGAATCTGTTGTCCCTTGATTTCCCCGGAACAACTCAAGTAGCTCATTGCCAGAGAGATACTCTCTCAACCGGATTCACACAGGGCTTCAGGGAAATGGACCAGTTAGGTTAATCATAGGTGTGAATTCCTTATGGGTCCCCTGAGGACAGTTTGTAGATGGTTTCCCAGCTGCAAGAGGTACCCTGAATTCTAATATGTAACCACTTCCTGAGAAGTGGGTATGGACCCTGGCTGCCAAATAGGGCCATTTTTGTAGAGGCTCAATTAGGTGACACATGTTTGGGTGGAAGAGACCCGTATACCATGAGCATACTCTCAACCTCCAGGCACAGGGGGCCTGTGACAACTCCCAGGTCGACGACTAGGCAGCCCTCAGAAGTCAACAGGGACTGAGCCCTTTATCAGATCGCTGCTTATTCACCAATAGCAGAACTTGGACAAAGCTGTTCAATTCTCAAAATGGCACCAAATGGGCCTTGAGAGAAACATTATTAAAGGCCTTTTTGTCTCAGAATGCATCAGTGGTGAGGGAGGGAATGTTATGCCTGGTATGCATGGATGGACTTTCAACCTACCCAAGTCCAAACCTCATTTGCTCCCCGGGAGAGAAAAAGGTGGCAGGAGAGGAAGCCAAGAGACCAGGATGTTGCCAACATTCAAGTGGGAAGGGCTCTCCTCTGGAATGAGCAGGTTGGCAGAGAAATGAATTTTAGAAATGTTGTGGTGAATGAGACACCAAGATTTATTTTAAAATGAAAGATTTATGAACATAGCCCGGTACCAGAGGAAAAAAGAGACTTGAGAGTTGAAATAGATGATGGTTTGCAAGCTGGGATGATGTGGAATGTGAGAGAGCAATGTGGCGGAGAGGAGAAGGCAAGAGGCCGAGGGTCCCTAGGAGGGCTCTCTGAAGGGGCACAGGCCGCCAGTCTGGAGGCTGACTTCTCATTCTGCTTCCATATTAGTGCTGCGAACTGAGAATTGGTTTTCTCTTCTGTGCAGGGCACGAGTCCTGAGACACACTGTGGCTAGGCCTGGAAGTCCATGCTGGTGCCTAGAAGCATATGGGATCTCTGTAAGGATAGGAGAGTCTCCAGAATCTGAAGAAGCGGTGAGAATCAATGCAGCTTTAGTAGTGCAGCAAAACAGGGGCCAATGGGCAGGCTCTCTAGGGACTAGATTCCAGCTTTAATTATATCTGAAAGCTTCCTGTCCTGGTGCCGCTCCTGGGTCCACATTCCTGGAAGGGCAATCCCAGTTGGTCTAGGTTGAGTGACATCCACAACCACTGGCCAGAGGAGGGCACCCAAACCATGAAAAAGAGGGGCAGAGAACTTTCTCTGGAGAAAATTTGGACCTATTATCAGAAAAAGAAGTAACAGGGGCAAGAAAGAACCTAAGTATCCACTGCACACTTAAGACAAAGCCCCCTGAAGACTTGTCCTGGGGCACGGGAGGAGTGGTGAGGGTCTAACATTGTTACCTCACCTATTTCTCACACATGTCCCAAGATTAAGGAAATCAGCAGAAGACTCAGAAACTGTCCCAGATCTCACAACATCCTGAGCTGGGGCCCAGCCCGAAGGCCCCCAGCAAGTGTGCCTTCAGTTTCTCTGTGGTGCCCACAGGCATCCCAGTGCAGAGGGAATGGAATGGCACCTTCCACCATGAAGCTGCCCCGGAACTCAGAGTGGTCCATATCCACACATCTGAGTCTTCGCCTAAGTTTCTTAATGTAAATTTGGAGTCTGAATGCTTATCCACATCTTAAATATTTTCAGGAATGATGGAAGAGGGGAAACATGCCACCTTGTGACATTTCTAGAAAGAATGGCCTGGGGAATGGAAGGTAAGTATGCAAAGCTCAGTGACCCCTTCTGGGCCATTGCTGAGAGCCTCCTGGTTTTTGCTGTGAGACCCTTGATGCCAGTTGTTTTGTTGCTGGGTTCCCACCGACACCCCTTTCTGAGTCCCCGTTAAAAGCCCCCCTTTCCAATGAGATGCAAAGATTTAACGGTTTCAAGAGGGAGGCTACCTAATTTGACACACATTTGACACACACATTTGACACATTCCACACATTCTTGAGCTTGAATAACACCACCTGTAAGCCGGGGAGAGGGTGTTTTCCACGGGTGGTAACCCAGCAAGCTGCCCTTTTCACCCCATTGTGGGAAGAGAGGTCTCACACATTTTTCCACAGTAATTTGATTTCATCTGAGAACAACTGCAGGAACTGCTGTTGGGAATGCAACTCCAGGTTCAATGTTGAGGTCATCAGTGGTGTTACATGTTCCAGGTCTGTGATACAGTTGAGCTCCATTGGGTTTATCAAGAGAGCCTCCTATGTGAATTCCGTCTATCATAATGGGCAGGAGGCCAGCATTTTCCCACCATGGTGGAGATCACCCCCATTCTGGAGGACAGGTGGTTTGAGTGTTTTGAAAAGCCAAAACAATGTGAAACTTTGTCCAGCAAAACTTTCTGAACCTGGAGTTTGCCACTGCACTCATCTTTTTTTATGCTAGGGGGCTTATTCTCCTGAGTTATTGCCCGTGGAGTCATTATTCAGTTTTCAGGTTCTGTGGGAACAAGGATGAGCTTAGGGAATGTGCTCTAACCTCTTCCCTTCCCAAATCACTCTTAATTAACAGACAATTTGGATAAAAATATGGCACACTTGATATGCAAACACAATTTCAAATCAATCTGTTAACCTTCGTCTTTCAACCTTATGTACACTCCTAAGATCTTTTGTAAGATATTCTGGAGACTCTATTAGAGGCTGAATCTAATGATTCAACTAGAAAGAAGAAACCCTATCTGTAAGGGTAACAGCTCTCTTAAGCTCCCAAACTTTGCTCTATCTGCTAATCCAAGTATCTATTTATAATAATATTTGGAACACTTCTTTAACTGGTATCTTAAAAAACAATATTAAGAACATAACTAACGTGGGTATTACGATGTATAAAACCTCACACAGTGGATTCCTGTGTTTTTTAGTTTCTTCCCTTAAATCCCTTATGCAGGTGTGCCTAAGAGAACTGCCTTCATTTTTTTGCGGAATGTGCTTTATCTTAATGTAATGCCTAAGTTCACAGATGATTCCCTGCTGTGAGGGTCTGTGTCGGATGTCACCACCTGTTGACAGGGTCTTATTTACAAACTGAAGAACATTCTCCATCTTGGTATATATGCTGACTCGAGTCCATTCCCAATTCTGAGTCTTTAAAGAGGTTACTTTCTGCCAGCTTTCTTTGCTAACTGCCTCCCTCGAGTTACTTATTTCTCTGGGAAAGATTTACCATTCTCTTGGCATGGCCTTGTAGCTTTCTGTTTCTCTTTGAATACTTTCCGCTTGCTTCCTCCGTGTGCTGCATTATCTCTTTACTGCAGAATGGAGGAAGTATGTGAGAGTTTGTTCCAACAAATACATTGAATATTTACTATATCAGGTACTAGGTTAGGTGCTGTGTGAAAGAGTAACTTTCAAATTTAATCTAAGTCGAAAGCAAATTCCACTGTTCTGCTGGATCATGCTCACCTTGATCTTTTCTGGGATACATCTCTGATTACCAGGGCTCAAACACTAGCCCTTAATAATTTTATGCTGTTTGGTGAGGGGAGGAAGTGGCTACACAATCACCAAGGGCAGACTTCTACACAAAAGACATGTCAGAGAAAAGTTATTGGTTATAGATATGTTGATTATGTCTTCCAATGATCATTTCTTCCCTTCCTCTCCTTGCTAGATAAGTTCTCTCCATAGCCCAAAAGGGAGAACCTTAAGTCCTAATAGGTGCTGTTGCTTTCCATAACAGATCACATTGGATATGGATTCTTGACCCAAGATATGTCCACCCCATTTAATATACAGACTTAAAGACTACTTTAGTTATCTTGGGAACTTCAATGGGAAAGGCAAGTATTTGTGACTACTGAGAACTACATTTTTTGGGCCTTTGTTATGGGCCAGATGCACACATTTCCAAGAAAGCCATTGTCATAGGTAGAAAACATAAGAATTTATCTGTCTGAACCAGAGATCTGGGCACAACGAAAGGTCTCTCGATTGTGAATTAAGAATTCTGAACCAAGGACTTAACCCCTTACTTGGGTTTAAAGTTTGGCTTTATGCTATGTATGTGATCCAGAAATATTTGAGATAAGAGACTGACATAAAAATGTGATTTTGGGTCCTATATCAGGAACCAAACACAAAAGTCTCTATTAAGTCACATTCTTAGCCCAGACAATACAGGATCCCCATAAGGTCAGACTGAAAAAGAACTTATCCTCCCAAGTTACAAAACATGTTAGGAAACAATCTCTCATAATAGTCAACTGATAGAACATACATCAAGTCCAGAGTCTTGGTAATTTCCGATAATAGAGCTATTACATAGGGACTATAAGTATGTTTAAAATGATGAGAGAATTAAATACGAAACTGAAAGACATAATAGTGTACCATGGAAAAAGAAAATGTAGATTTGAAAAAGAAATAAATAAAAAATCCAGAAGTAGTAACTGATCATTAATTTTAATAGATTAGATATGGCTAAAGAGAAAATTAGTGCATTGAAAAAGAGATCTAATTCTAATTCAGAATACATCATAAATACATAAACATATGAGAAAATAATTGAAGAGATGGCATATATAATTAGAATAAGAGTTTCAAAAGAAGAGAATAGAGAATGAAGGAGAAGAAATATTTCAGAGAGAAAAAGACTGTGGCTCTAGTACAGTGGTTAAAAGATTTAGACTCATAAGATTCAGGAAGCCCAGAAAGCCATGAACTGAATGAATAAGTATAAATCTGAAACTTAAGTCCACTGTAATGAAAATGCAGACCACCAAAATGTTCTTAAGGCAATTAAATAGAAAAGACATATTTCTACAAAGGAAATATGACCAGAAAATCAGCAAACTTCTCAACAACAACAAAAGAAGCAAAAAATTATAGAGATAATATATCCAAAACTGTCATTTCTTATCCACTTAAAGGATTATTCAGCAACAAGCATGAAATTAAAAAGAATTTGTTAGGTACCAAAGGCTCTCTTCTAGGACCCTCTTATATACTTTTTTCAAATAGAAGAAAACTGAACAAAGGAGAAGGGGTGAAATGTAATAAGGGATATTAAATTATAGCAAGAATTACAGAAAGTAACAATAATACTGGGAAGTTGTTAGAGTTTAAAACAATGTAGCACTGAAATATGTAAGACTGGTTGGATATGATTGACACTATGCAGATTGGTTGGTGGGTAGAGATATTTATTTTATACTTTTTGAAGTATGTGGGCTAAAATTGTAAAGGTGGCATCTAAAAGGTAGCATACAAACATTCACATCTGTATAATAGGGAAAGGGAATAAAACTTGATCAGGGGCAGGGTAAAAGAAAGCAAAGATCACATATAACAAATTAAAAATAGAGCCCCAAATAAGATGACAGATATAAATCCTAAATAAATGTAAATGGACTAAATGTGTAAGTTAAAGCACAAAGATTGTTAACGTGATTGAAAAAATAAAAATTTTGTGGCTTATAGGAGACTCATCTAAAATCTAGGGCAGGGCCTCCCCGGTGGCGCAGCGGTTGAGCGCTGGGTTGCGAAGCTGCGCGCGGCCTCTGCGGCGCCGGTTCGATCCCCGGCTGCTCCCCGGCCACCAGAGGAGGGTCCCACATGGCGCGCAGACCTCTCCTGCCGCCCGCTGCTCCCCTCAGCAGTGTGCTTCGGTCCTTCTGCCTGCTCTGCTCCCCGCTCTGGCTCTGGTGAACTCTCTCGCCCTTCCGCGCTTCTGACTGTACCCAGTGCATGTATAAACAAAAACAAAAAACAAAACAAACCAGCAAACAAATAAATAAAGCATGCCTCTATAAAAAAAAAAATAAATAAATAAAATAAAATCTAGGGCAGAGAAAAGAACAAAGGAGAAGAATAGAAAAAGATCTATTAGACAAAAAAAGGGCAGGGGGATGAGTTACATTTATACCAGACTTTAGGGTAAAATTTATGATTAGGGATAAAGATTGTTTTTAAAGTATTCATCAGTTCTAATATGTACTTAATGACAGACTCAAGTAAAAGGCAAATATTGAATTCTCAGGAAGGACAGGCAAATATACAATCATAGTAGATGTCTTAACACATCTCTTCAGATAGGCAAGAAAAATTTTTAAAAAATAGTAAGGAAAGAAACTGAATAAATCATTTGAGAATGATAATGACAATTGTCCAAACAGTACATATGGTTCAGCTCAAGTGTTTTAGGGTTTTTCTATCTGAAATTCATTTGAAAAGGCAACCTTTCTGCATGACAATCTCTTATGGGAAGGAGGGAGCTGGATTCTCTGACCCTTATTCTAACCTGTACAGGACTCACTTGTGCGAACAAGGCCCTTGCTGGCTTTGTCTCCAGGAGGGGGTGATTTTGGCATGTGAATACTGCTGACTGTTATGTAACTTGGGTAGGATTATTTTTTCCTTTTGCTTTTTAAATGAGTACAAGCAAGTATGACCTCAAGATTCTTCACACACAGCTGAGGCAGCAGAAAATCACATACATTAGTTAAGGTTCAGGTTAAACTACTGTCACGAAGACAATGAAAAATACAGTGGCTCACATGAGATTGTTTTTCTCCCACAGAACACCCCAGAGGTAAGAGGACGGCACCAGGCAGGTAGGTGGTGCTGCTCCTTAAAGCCATCTAGAGTCCCCTTATTTTGTTGTCCTCATCTTTATCCCCTCATCTGCATTCCAGTCCCCAGAAAGGGCAAACAGCTCATTTTTTAAAATGTTGCCCAGAATATTCACACAGGTCAC